GTTATTTTAAATTTCAACCTTCACTTCTAATGTGCAAATTAAATTAGACATGTATAAAATATACCAAATGTACCAAAGAGAATTACAATGCACCAATAGTATTATAATTGTACAAGCTATACAGAAATATATATATATATATATATATATATACAGAAATTTTATCTCTACTTTATATCATTAAGAATTGTACATACATTCTGCAATTTCAGAGGCTATCAGGTAAAAAAAAAATTAAATTTTATTATACTGTGAAGCTGGGTTATATTACCCTCTATTGACAATATCACAGAAGCTAGAAATTTAATTAAAAGCATTTGATCAAAACATACATAGGGGGCCTTGCACATCCTATTTAGATCCTGTGCCCCCCAAGTTTCAGATATGAAACGTCTATGATGAATACAGATCAAAAATTAAAATAAAATACAATTAAAACTAAATGTAATAATAATAATAACGTACACTGATATGTAATAGTAGTGAATATGAGTTAATTGATTTCAGCTATCTTTTCTGCCCTCCTAAGTAAACAAGTTCTCCCACAATAGAGCACCTCTTACCATAGAGACTAACATAGTAGTTGACTGTTGTTACATCACTTGAAATACTATAGAATGTAGAAACATCTAAATAAAATGGATGTTTAGAATAAAATTTAAGTTCAAAAATAGCATTGCTGAAAAAATTGGTAAGGCAATAATTATATCATTATTACTATTTCATACATTTGATGTGATTATTGTTATTACAATGATAACTGCTACCATCTTATTCTTCTATAATTAGTATATGAAAATATCTTGATTAGAGTATATTAAGGTAACATTTTCCCACATTTTCATTTAGGTATTCGTGAATTCAGTTATCATCCTTGTGAAAAGGATGTAATCACTTTTACTATGCATTAATCCTTGCCTTGGCAGGTTAAACACCATAGGAGATACTCTACAGGTAGTACTTGTCCAGGGGCAGTGCTAGTCAACTGGAGGCCTTAAACAAAAATATTTTTGAACCCCTCACCCACACCCTAAAAAATACTAATTGCAATGTTTTCACAAACAAATACACCAACACAACACATACTTACACACTTTTTAAAAATTCATCTCTACTCACACACTATCACCACTGTACCAGTATCTTTCTGAAATTGTGCATGTTGCATGTTTAATGCACTTGGTAACCAATCAGAGCATATTCACTGTACATGTGCCTGACTGAAAAGTGTCCTTCCATTACCAAGTGATATGTTTTTAGATCGCTTGCTTTGACAAGAATTCTTTATTCTCAAATAAGTAGAATGCAAACAGGCAAACATCAAAATTCTAATAAAAATAAATTAGAGTAAAACCCCCATGAATCCAGAGCTCCTTGAGCCACTCAGAGCTGTAACCAATTGTTTAGTCTGCTTATGTCTAGTATTACCATATTTGTCAGAACTGGTTTAATACATTTGTCTGAAATGATTAATACAGGCTGGAAGATTAGCTCCCCTCGAATGTGAAATGGGTAATGCTATGATCTCTAGTGTAAGTAACTAGGGTTGTGGAATGAGCTTTATCTGACTAAAGTCTAGTGTTGTAAAAATCTTCTTGTCCTTGTCTTACAAGACTAACCTTTACCTTCACCAGCAACTGACAAAAACTTAAAAGCCAGTAAAGATATTGATAAAGAAAACTCTGACAAGTATAAATTTCCAGTACACAGTTATGTGCATAATAAAGACTGTGTTTTGTTATTCTGTTTGCCTGAATGTTTCTACTCTTATTTACTTGTTTGACATTTGTGTAAATGAGTACAGAAAATGAAAATGTTTCTGCCACGTCCAGGAATTTGTTTCTGTGGAGTTTTAAGATGTTTTACATTACTAATTTTTGTATACTATTGAGTATTGCAAATTGTTATCATCATTTATTGTCATGGTTAGTATAGCCTCTGTGATCATCTAGGTTTAATTCTTAATTTATCTACTGCCATCTTCAAGACAGTTCTGTGAAGGATTGTTTCTTTGGTGGTAATGATAAGGATTCAATCCTGAGTACTTATGACAGAGAGACTGATGTGCTATCCACTAAGAGTTACCAAGATCATCATAGACAGTTCATTTCTATGATTGTCTAAATTTACAGTGGAGAGGAAAGAAGCTGCCAGTGAAGTATTCTGGGACTGGATAATGTTGTAAAGTTTAGGAAAAATATTGGCCTGGACCAGTTTCTCTTGCTACAGATAGTGAGGACTATGTCCACAATAAGGAGTTGAACCATCATAAAGTAAAGCAGTAAAAATGTTACTGAGATATACAAGAGTTCTTAGGTTATATGTTGGAAATGATGATGGCATCTCACAAACATTGTTTGTGTCTCAGCTATTTGCTGAAGGATTTCAAGAAAGTAATTTCTTGGAATGGCTGAAATCAGGACAGGTGGTGCTGTTGAGCCTGGACATTTCAATGCTTGATATTATAGAGCATTTGGTGAAAGAGCAGCTTAAAGATGTAGAAAGCTGGGCTGGCATTTCAATCTAGTGGAGAACATTGTAATCCATATAGTTATGTTCAAAGCTCAAAAGTGCGGATCCTACAAATCCTTGGTCACATATGTAGATGATTTGTGATGTTTACATGGTCTGTAAGCTGTGAGGGTAACTACATCATCAAGGTCATTTAGGAGATCACAATCAAACATATGTGGAACAACAAGGATACCAGGGACATTGTGTTTATAGCAGAAAGTACTTCAATGGCTACACAATTCAAGATAAGCATCATGAATTGTATACTAAAGCTAAAGAAAAAGACAACAATAGATCGTATGACAGGTGATTTAGCTTCAATATCTCATAAAAAAGCAGCATCTCAGATACTGATGAAAAGTGTCAGTTAGTAGACCCTCTATGTGATAAGCACAACCAGCTTTCATGATGTAGCCACTGGGTTTCCTTATGGAAGATTAGGAATTCCCACTATTTGTGATTGTTACACCACAAATATAGAAGAAAAAGCCCCTCAAGAAGACACTTAGAGTGTAAGGGTCAGAGCCAAATTTGACTATGACCTGGAATGACAATGAACGTAGAATTACCCATATCATGTTGTATGAGAGAATCAGCAGACACAGTACCTTTCTGGCTGATGCCACAACAGATACATGGAGATAAACAACAAGCTATGGTTGCTGCTGTTCCAGATAGTTTAAACTAGTCAAGCCAAGGTTGGATCTGGTATTAACCCAGATAGGCACAGCAGTCTGCTTGCACCAAGGGATATAGGGGCTAGTTTAATCAATTAATAAATTGGCCTCACATAGTATGTGTCACATTTAAATACATGGATTTGAGGTTGAATCTTCAAAAAACAATATGCAATCAGGATCTGATTCAACCTTACAGTATGAATGAAACCATTACTTTGGCCTGTAAGCATGGATTTCCTACTAGCAAATTGTCATAAAACTAGATGAGAGTGGATAGGCATGCCTAATTCTTTATTAGTGCTATTATACACAGAATGAAGGTAATTATCTCTGATCTACTATTTACCACTGGTAACTTAGGGATGGATATATTCCAAAAACAGTCAGCCTGCTTCACCCCTGGAACAGGAAAACTGCATTTCCATAGTAAACCATGCAATGACAAATGGTAGAGCCTAGAAGCAGTGGACTAAATGTATGCAGTGCCTCTAGATGCACAAGTGGTTTTCTGTGGCAAGATATCAAAGTTTTCTTACTCAGATAGTTACTAGCTTACTGACTGTTATTATGGCCAAAGAGCAATTCAGCATCCAGATGGAAATATTACGGATATAGTGAGTTAGTAGTGAATAAAACTGCCTGTATAAGCTGCTGTTACTTCATCTTCACCACATCTAGGTGAAATACATTAAGAACTAAGAAGTTTTAAATGCACTGGATTTAAATTAGTTTTAATTGGATTATAATACACTCAGTCTGTGGAAAGTTTACACATGCAGTCATAGGAGATTTTAGTAAGTGTTTGTTATAAGTGCATTCATGAGGTAAGGATTCAGGTTTAGACTAAAAACTATTCACTGATGCAAATTAATAGGTGGATATCGTTTGTTTTTCAGTTTGATTGGTTAAGGGGATGCATGTTTTGGTAATAAATAGTGAAGTCCACACTGTCAAGCTAGAGAAAGCCTGATTAATTTCAAGCATTATGAATTTGACTTTTGGAGAGAAAAAATAAATCATTTGAAGCTGAAATCTATATCATATCATTTGAAGATGAGGTGACCTTTTGTAGCATGTTAATGTTAGGCTTTTCCTGCAAAGTTGTTGTTTACTTTTATAGAGTTAAATAATCAAACTTATATTTAAGCCAAGTCACTTAATAGATACATGTTTTAACTTTTAATGTTAGAATCAAGTGTTAGTACTTTGCTTTTAAAACAGAGTCCAGAAACATGATGTAGGGTAAGTTTTTTCATGTTCTGTGGCATGAGTTCATAATAAACAGTATCTATTGAAAAAGTGTTTTGGAATTGATTGATTCTTCCATGTTTAATTACAAATTCTAAAAGACTCTGCCAAATAGTTTATTTTTGCATAAAAATATAATGCAAATACCAATAAAGAAAGTAAATCCAATCAAGTGATCACTACACTAATATATGGAATTTAAAATTTGATTTCTTTAAAGTCCTGATTTGGAAAACATGTTGTTGCTTCTAACCACTATCTGTCTGTTTGTAGTTAAGCACAAAGCTACACAAAAGGTTATCCCTTGTGCTCTGCCCACCATGGGTAGTGAAACCACTGGGGGTTGTCTAACCACTAGGTACTGAAGCTTTTGCTAGTGTCAGCAATGAAGGGGAATATCACACACATACAGGGATAGAAGAATGTCAAACTTTTATTATATTGATAATTATAACAGTCTATTCTCAAACATTAGCAGACAAAACATTAAACTTAATAAATCCACTACAGAATCAATAATATGAACAGCATACCTCTCAATAACTTATGACAGAAAATCTCCTTTTGTACTTATATCTTTATAATATTGTTCTTAACAGTACAACTCTTTTAATTAATATTGTGGTAGATAAACTTTCATGTATATCTTATTGAATTATTGTTATCTACAACTATTATGTCTTTATATTGATACTTACATATTATACACAAAAAGTGTAAAAACTGTATTTATATTAAGAAAGCTGAGGTTTCTGGTGTTACAGTAAAACGAATATCATTAT